AGAGTCAGTGACCTATTATAAAGGAGAGAAGCACTATTATTCTTTACACCAGAGATGAAGCTAAGGAAAAGCTAAGCAGGCATCTTTATTTGTTGAGCCAGCTTTTTTTACTCAATTGCACTTACATGTACTAAAATACTTCATGTCATTGTTTTCCGGAGTAATGTGAGCCAGTGTTAAGGTTTTTTTCAGTCAGTGAAATTAGCCGGCAGTCAGCTTTTAGGGACATCCCTGCATGACTGCTATAGAGTACTTAAAATGAAATTTCTGAAATTGTGGGATTTGTCAGGATATTCTGAAAGAACAATGTCCAAGAGGCCTACTTACTGAAAATGAACATTTCGGGGCAAATTGTCTCTGAGATGTTAGCTGGTTATACTCAGAAAACACCATACAAACCCTTCTAATTTTTTTGGAGGGGCCGACCCAAAATTCTGAATTTCAGAAATTTCATTTTATGATGTTACTTTTTAGTACTCTATTAAACCAGGGATAGATCAAGGTGGTAGTTGTGGTGGTAGCTGTAAATTTGATTTGATTTGCTTTTATGGTTTGCTTTTTTATTAATTAAGGTGGAGACTAGGGAGGATGAGGAGCAGAATGTAAAAATGGCTGAAACAATTGAGCTTCTGTTGGCAGCAGGTTATTTCAGAGCAAGAATCAAAGGATTATCTCCATTTGATAAGGTACACCTATATTTGATTGATTTGTAAGATATGGAAACCTGTACTTTTTATTCTGAAAGTGGGAATCCCCTTCTACACAATGTAACAGCAAAAGGAATCATGTACGTGCATTCACACATTTTCCATTTGAGAAAAAAAACATACTTTCTAGTTTACATAGCAGACTACAATTAAAAGAAACATAAATATAGACTTGATTCTCTAAAATTGATATTCAGTGCCCGTTATTGATAGTGTCTTTTTTGTCTAAGAAAACTAACTCATTACAGTGTAGGAAGTAATACATGAGCTTGTAAGCACTTATGATGGATGCAGATTTCTCTATGTGTCAATGGTTATTGTTCTTTCCTCATGAACTATTAAAAGGTCTCTCAATAATCCCTGTGAGTGATAAAATAATATTAAAATCCTGGTTTCTCAAAAAGTTGAAGTGCAAAACTTGAGACTTGAGTTGAGACATTCATGCTTTTACAGATTATGTTTGATGTCCTTTAATATCTTAAAGGTTGTTGGTGGTATGACATGGTGTATTTCAGTCTGTGACTTTGACATTGATGTTGATTTACTTTTCCAAGAAAATTCAACCATTGGTCAGAAAATGTGAGTACCCCAAAAGCCATTATCAATAATTAACTATATCACTGAGTTGACACTCTCAGCTTACATGCCTCTTATTCGTGCATAGTGAACGTAAAATCTCAATACACTCCCTTTGCTTAAAAATCCACAACTTTGCACCAAAAAGTTCCCAAGGATTCAAAATAATGTATGTTAATGTATGTCATAATTAAATTCAGGTTAAAATTTTTAACCTATTTTGATTCTCAATTTCCTTTGTCTCATAGCCGTAATTCATAAATAATTAGGGCTAGGAGACAAAGGGAAGAGAGAATCAATCTATTTTAAAAAAATTTAAGCTAATTTAATTTTGACATGACATTTGTACAGTAAGGAAAAAACTAGGCATTGAAACTTGCTATGCTACAATGCTTCTAAGATCGGAGATGAGATCAGAATTTTTTGAGACCCATACACTGATGTATAAGCTAGCCTCTGCTCAGTCAATATATTTTAGTCATCATTATTATTTTTAATTATTTTCCAGTGCTCTGACAGAAAAGATTGTTGCAGTTCTTCCACGCATGAAATGTCCTCATCGTCTGGAGCCTCATCAAATTCAAGGCTTGGATTTCATCAATATTTTCCCTGTCATCCAGGTAACAAAATTGATATTGCCCTTCAATGGGCAATCTCATCCTGCTTCTTGCATGGGACTATTATTTTAGAAATTCTTTCTATCACATAATCTTTACTACAGCTTGTTATCTTTAAGAAAAAAAATATGATAAGCATTTTTATATTTGCACAAATTTAGATTTACATTATTATGGTTTGTTCCTTGATTCGGTTTAAGAAACATTTACCCACAAGCAAGAACAAGAGCAGTTAGGTTTAGCCAAAACTATGGAAAAGCTTAGAAGTCGCAATGTGTTAGAATCCGAGATTAAGTTGTACTTTGTTTGATTTCTGCTACATGGAATTTCATATAGAGTATGAAAGTTAATCTTCACATCAAAAATTAAGGGACACTGAGTACTCATTGTAACAAGAAAATTCACATATAGGGACAATCAATATAATCTGAGCTATGAAAAATTACCCAAGCCCTACACATTCCCTAAGAACAACCCCACATGTGATTAGTGAAGGGGAAGGCTGGCCATGAGCATTGCAGATGACGTGACTTGTGTTTTACCCTGCCTAAATTACATTAATTTTGCCACATTTAAGTCTCTTTTGGCGTACCAACAAATGACTTTTTTGTAATTATTCTAGTAATATTTTCAGTATGTATTAAACAACATGCTCGTAGCCAAGCCAAGTCAAGTTAAGTAAATTCACATTCAGAAAAAAAGAAAGAAAACAGGAGACGTTTACACCTTATATAAATTTAGCATTACAGGGAAATGGTAGCTACTCATGCAAGACATTTTCGTCAAGGTTTTTTTTCTTTTCTTTTACTCCTCAGTGGTTGGTGAAGAAAGCAATTGAAAGAAAGGAAGAAATGGGTGATTATATTCGAGAGTTTTCAGTGTCACAATTCAGCAAGTACCATACCACTCCACAGGTGAATGCGAAATGTTTGTAATGAGTACTGAATAGCTGGAGGCCTCACTTGTGTGAGTTGCGGGGTGAGAACAATAGGGCTTTATGGGCTTGCGCTGGTGGCACTCCCAGCCAAAATTGTGCTCAAACTCACATAAGTGAGCCTGCTTGAAAGTTAGGAGCAAGCCCTCTTTGAGGTGTCCCAAGCAGAAATGGTAAGGGGTCGCACTCAAGAGTGGCCAGCACTGCCGTCCAATTTCCTCTTGGCTGACCTTGCTTGATGCTCATGTGAGACCCATTGACCCCTTGTACTCTAGAGCCCAAGAGGAGAGCTTGCTAGCATGCATTGTGGAATGCAACGTGTTAATCTTCATTTCTGTGAAAACAAATTGCAGCATTTTCTTTACATCCCTTTCCGTTTTGTAAACAAATGCTGTCAAATTATTCGTTTTCATCGGATGTTACTAAAACAGAGAATAAGAAAAGGAAAAATTGGAACCAAAACCAGTAACTTTCAATTCTCTGCTTTCATCCCATTTTTCATTTACCCATTTCCCGTGCTCTTTCCATGTTCCCCGCTTTGGTGACATTTTTTTTGTCTTTGTAAGTTTTGTCTTTTTCCCTTCAGATTATTGCTAAATTGTGATATGCAATTTTAGGATGATGAATTTAATGTCAGGAAACCCAAGTGCATCAGTGGAATGGAAGGTCTCAAGGTTGGTTTTATTTAGTTTTTTGAACCAGAGAAAAAAAAAGTTCCTGCTATTCTTAACCATCATGAGGATTGGTTGCCCATTTTAAAGATAGGTCTCCTTCATTTATCAGTAAGTTTTAGTGTTTTTATCATCTGCTGTTTTTTTTGGCCTTGTGGTTGTGTTATCTCTGCAGGTTAGCGAGAGCACGTGGTTGGCCAGCGTGGATAGTTGGACACCCTTTCCCCTTCACGCATACGTCTCAGAAACTCCACATGCGCTTCGCGCTTGACTTCGCTCGCCTGAAAAATGCGAAAAATAACGCTTGTTCTGTAGGCTAGAACCACTTTATGAAAGCTTAAAAAATTCTTTTAAACTTCTTTAAGCCTGATCAAGAATTTACTTGTTTTAGGAGACATATAAACCACGTAGAAGATATCGCAAACCAGAGTCCATGTCTCAAACTGATGAAGAGACGAAGGTCCGTACAACTCTCTTAGAATACGGTTGGTAAGTGTAACAATAATATTTCTTTCCCTTTTTATTTTGGAGAGTCTCATAGGATTACGTCAAATTGGGCCATGTCCCCGTAAGCCTGGTTTCCAGTGGCCGTTTGGGAATTACGCGTGAATGCGCGAAACAACGCGAAACTAGGTCGGTGTTGTTTCGAATGGCACTATGGGACTGTTTTGGGGGACGAGATTTGACCCAGTCTCCTTCACAATCTCTTTATCAAAGGAGAGATGACGTCCCTAAAAATGTCCCATGGTACAGTTCCACACAACACCGACCCAGTCTAGCTCACACGCAATCCTACAACGGCCAATGGAGACCTTTAGATCGAGGAAGAGGACGATTGTTACGAGGACGAAATTTAACCTAAGGTTTTTCGCGTCTTCTTAAAAAAAGACACCCCCCACATTGTACTTTTACCAACCAGAAAAGTTAGCACGGTTATATTTATTGGGTGAGATTTAGCCTTCTTCCGTTCGCAAAACGTTTAACATGTGATAACTTGTTCCACCACTATGAAGGAATACTCGCCAAAACCCGTAATAGGATGACGGCGGATATCAGGTTTTCCCGCCAAAATGACGTTGTTTCACGCGCGTGCACTGCTTAAATCTTGTTCTTGTAGTCGTCCTTGTCTGAGAATCTAGAGGTCTCTATTTTGTTTATAGTCGCTATGTTGCTGAAAGTAAAGTTCGAAGATCGCAGCAGTTAAATTAATCCTTGGTTGCGGTTGATATTATTCTCTAGTCATCTCATGCCTACCCGCCAGACATATTTCCCCTGTTGATGAATTCTTTGAATGTCAAGGTGACCGTACGTATTGTTTTCACTCCTTTAGGCAATATGGATTTAGTAAGGAACAGAGAGATAAGGTATGATACACCGTTATAGGCTTTTCGTACCAATCAAGCTTCTAGTGGCGAGCGAAGATTGAAAGCCGCGAGTATATGACTCGCGGGCGACCTCTGGAGATCTTCCTCAACTAGGGAGCTTGCTCGCTGATTATGTCTTAGGCCAATTTTCGCCTCTTATACCAACAATACTGAGCCGAACTACTGCTGGTTAAGGGACATCTTATTCTAAGTTTTGCACTTGAGGCTTAAATGCACCATAATAGCGACCTTAAGACTCACCGTTTCGGCCTACGGGTACGGGTAAGCGAACTTGTTTACCTCGTAGTTTTATAAAAGGCAACCATTATTTCCCAGATGTGATAATGGCGTAACCATTCTACCCGGTAGCATACCCGTTTCTCCCGGGGTAAGAGGCAATCTACCCCTATTTACGGTTAATTTACCCCTAGCCGTACACGGAAACGGTGTCTTACGGTCTCTAATAAAGAGAGGAGAAGTGTGTCGTCAGGTTACCATGGTGGCACTATTTCTGGATCTTATCAATCCTTCTTGACACAGACGGCAATTTACATTGTCAAACGATAGAAGAAAATTATGGGCTAACCATTTTGTTCCTGAGTGCAATCATGCACAGGAAAGTCATACATGTGAATTTTTTTCTCATTTTTTTTGCCATTTTTGCATGACCACGGTTCGTTGAGATCCAGAAATTTTGCTACCATGGCAACGCGAGGTAGCGACTTCTCCTCTCTTATTCCTACCCACAAATATCTAAGGAACTAATCGAGGCTGGGTGGGGGGAGGAAAGAACATATTTTGCAACACTTGGTTTGAGAAGGATGGACTGCACAATAATGGCGACAAATACGATAAGAAGAGAGACTAACATGTAATGTACGATAGAATTAAAAGTATTTGTATTCATAAACTGAGGAGGATTGAGGATTAAGTTGTGGACAGGTATCTCAGTGAGATAAAGACTGTTTCAAGTTCTCAGCAAGTAATCCACATCTGATCTTTATCTTTAAGTTATTTTTTTTAAAATGCTCTATTAGGAAAAGGAACAGGCGGAAAAGAAGAAAGCCGCTGCTGCTGCGGTTCCTGGACAAATGAGAACTGCATTATCTGGAGAAGAAGACGAATATTTAGTGGAGCAGGTAGCACTTTGTAAGATAAAACAAGCATCGTTGCGAAGTAGCTGCGCTTGTGAAATTAACGTAAACTGCCGTTTACAAGTCTTGGGCTTATACATCTTCGCAAGGGGTTGTAGGAGGGATTATAAACGGAGGGGCTTATATCCGAGGGGGATTATAAGCAGAATAGAAAAAGCGATTCAAAACAAGCTACAGTAGTTCTGATCAAGGTACTTTTTGCACTAAGTGGTCTTCAATTAAGGTCAAAACGTCAATAATAAATAGAATTCTTTTCAATGCATTTGGAGGGGACTTATAATTGGTTGTATTTTTTGTTGTTTAGAAGTAGATTGGCCTATAACATGGGGGTCTTATACGTGGAAGGGCTTACACGTAAAGGCGGCAGTTTACGGTATACCCTCTTTTATCCGCTGGATTTAATTTGCAAGTGCAGTTGCAGGTGCGAGTGAAAGTGCCGGTTAGGATTAATAGGGTAAGGGTTTGATTTACGTGACATTTAGTCACACCTGCACGCTTGCAAATAAGCAAATTAAACATGCTGTCTTTTATGCAATTCGGGCCATTGCGTTCAGTCCAAATGAGGCACTCACACTGTACAAAATGTTTGCACAGACCAATTAAAGAGAGAAAGAAAAACGTTTTTGTCACTTACCGTAGGGAAAAAACGCGCTTTAATTGGGTGTCAATGTATTTAGCACGAAAGTACGGATTGAGGACACTATTTTTACACCTCGTACTGGATACGGGATCGCCATCATACTTGGTCATCCGAACCGCGCGAAGGTCTAGCCGTTTGCAGGACGAGGGCAGTGCCTTCACTTCCCAGTTCTTTTAAGACCATGGGTATTGGTCAAGCACTCTACCAACTGAGCTAATCCTGCCGCGATGTTAGTACGGCATTAAGCTACGATTAAAGTCAGTCGCGTTTTAGCCGTTTTAAGCTTACGTTTCTTTCATTTTTCTTTTTAATTAACAATTTCCCTGTGAACTTTCTTTATTGCAGAAACGTCTAAAATCATTGCTGAAAGGAATGTCTGTTATGGAAGGGAAGGAGGTGAGCTAGAATGCTGAGTAAAAATGGTCAGAAAAGTTTGTATTTAAAGGAAAATGTTTCATGCAGTTAGCCAAACTCCACCTCTGAGAACTGGCCACCAAGATGAGTAAAATATGAAAATAACGACTGAAAACGGCAAAAACAAACACTGAGGCACAAATAGGCAAATTAAAGAAAAAGCTGATTACAATGCTGAATAGATCAATTCTGAGTTGCCTTAAGTCATTTTTAGAACGAGTGTTAGTTCGAAGTCTTTGATGTAAAAAAAAAATTCTTTTCTTCGGTAATTAAAACTAATTATTATTCAATTAAAAAATATTTCTCCGTTTCTGAGTGGTTTTAATCTCCCGGCTAAATATGTAACGATGTTGTCCGTTTTTTTTTAAGGGTGCCCTTTCATCAAGTACTGTGGGATCCATTGTGGGGCTTCAGTCAGAAGAGATCTCTCAGATTGCTTCTGAGTATGCTGAAAGGGTAAGTGTCTGCTGGTGTTCAAAGCAAGGATAGCACAAGATTTGAATTCAGATCTGAACACTTACAAAGCAAACTCAGCTTAGTGTATTCTTTTTGCCTATAATTTCATGTTCAGGTTACCTTAAGATGACTGACTAAAATTAACAAAGAACATATTTCTGAAAGACAGAAACAGGAACGTGGATTAAAATTTAAACTTGGGTTAGCGATAATCGCCTTTTGTACCACTGTAAAGAATAGATCGGAGAGTAAAAGAAGTAAGTGCATTTCAGACCAGGTTTCTCTTATCCCTTCACTTTTCTCAGTTACGCCCGATCATACGTCGAATTTCACATGTTAACTCCTATTTTAGTGGACTAAAATAATTAAATATGACAGTTCACACGTCGGATGTAATGGTGCTGGATTTAATTCCATTTGTTGTAAAAATTCCCAGTCTTTAAAACAGCTTAATTGTATGATGAAAAATATATATGGATAATAGTTTCTACAATCAATGCATTGTATTCGGCATACGTGAAATGCGACGTCTGTATCAAATGTCAAACCTAAGTCGCAGATTCGGCAAAGTCGTATTTAATTTGAAACTGTCCAATTTAATTGATTCGGACGTCGCATCTCACATGCAGTTAATTCTCGGAATCTTTCTTTTTAAACTCCTTTTTATTTATTTATTTTTTCTTTCTTTCTTTCCTTCTTAAAGCCAGAAATAGTCAGTTTTGTTCTAACAGTAAATGTTCCTGCCTTTTTTTTTAAAGCAAGCCGAGTTGCAGGAGAATCTTGAAGCACGGGGGGAGCGGATGGGAGGAGTTCAGACACACAAGAGAATGGTAGCATCACTGGAAAAACAGATTGCTGTACAGGAAAAGAAACTGGAACAAGTAAGACACATTCAAATTTTCCTCCCTAATATTATACTACCGGTATTTGAAGAGTTCATCTGACGCGGAGAGTGCGGTTTTTCTCGGGTATTTTTCGTGGGTATCCATCGCTTACTTTTCAACAGTGATCAATCTGGCCAATCAGATAATGATATCAGAATCTGGTATCATGGATGGGCGGGATGAAAACAAAGTCTAGAGGCTCCCCAGCCTTTTGTTCTCCCCCAGGCCACGTTCGGCTCGCTTCGCCCGCCGATTTTCTTTTTCGCCCTGGGGCCCGTTTCTCGAAAGACCCGGAAACTTTTCAGGCCCGAAGGAAAATTTTAAAATCACAACCTGTTGTATGGTAGCACAGTTCCCAGCCCACAAACCAGTCAATTTTGCTTCTTTAAATGATAGTTTCCTTGTATTATTTTTAAAAATTGTTGAACCTTTGATCGTGAATGCAAACACAACAAGCCTAAAACATCTTTCCGGTCCCGGAAAGTTTCGGGGACTTTCAAGAAACAGGCCCCTGCTTCACTTGAGAGCCTGTTCGCAGGCTATTTGGCAACCGGTGGTTCACCCGAACAGTTTGTGGTGGTCTTCTGTGGTGGCCGCCACAGAAGCTATGCACCTATGGGGCACCGAAAATGGCTTGTTCATGGCTTCTGGAAACTAGTTGCCTGCGTCGCAGACGCTCTAAACCTTCTGTATATACAAATGGTTTAGTCGAGTGCGTGGGCCGGCTGCAACGCAGGCTAAAAACTAGTAGCGATAGACAAAAACGTAAACACGAAAAAGAAACGAATTTATTATCTTCTACCTTCGTCTCTCCCTCTTCCTTGGCGCGACTGTTCGAGAGCCTGGGACTTCTTTGAAAAGAAAGATTAGTTGCAATTACAGCAGACCTTGCTTGTCGTCTTCTTGTCCTGTAGGCTAGCCTTTTTAAATGCATTAAATGCCTTTATTTCTTTTATTGAGAATTCGCCGTTAATGAAGAAAACTGTTAATCTTTTTGTACATTGTAACTAAACTGTCTGTTTTTCACAGGTACAAGAAAAGCACAACAAACTGCAAGAAACTTTGAATCAGTCTCAAGAGCAACTTTCGCAAGTAAGATTGATAGCTTTTCTTTTAGTGGCCTAGACGGTGTGTTAAATAGTTTCTGATGTTGTTTATTCAATTTGTGATGTAAAATGTCTCGCGTGTGTCGCTGTTTGAGCTCAGTTAAACATAGAGTTTGTATTGTAGTCTTTAGGGCTGAAAGGATCTACCATCTTTGCTACTTTTGCAGTAGTGCTTGAAGCTTTTTTTTCCTGTTTTTTGTTTAAAGGTTCTTTCTCGTGGAGAGAGAATAAGTGAAGAAATGGAGAAGATTAATGAATTGGAGAGTGGTGAAAATGCCAGGTATTGAGTCTGAACTTACCGTAACATTCCGAAAATAAGCCCCGGGGCTTATATCTTTTAAAGGCCCTTTTTAAGGGGCTTATTTTTGGAGGGGCTTATATTCGGTGGGGCTTATCTACGGAGGGAAATTTGCGTTTCAAAATCGATTGGGCTAGCCTTATAGTTGGAAGGAAATTTACCGTTTTTCCTTTGTTTTATTTTGCATTTGAGGATAATTTCCAAGTAAAAGCCCCGCGGGAGGCTTATATTTGGAGGGGCTATTTAACGGAGGGTTTTTTGCGTTACGAGTTTGGGGGGCTTATATTTGGTAGCCTGTGAACAGGCTCTCTGTTTGGGGAAAAAAAGCGAGGAAAGGGAAAAGGGGGGAGGGGCTTATACATGGAGGGGCTCATTTTCGGAATTTTGCGGTATTACTGGGGAGCTTAAGCAACGACGGCGGCGGCTACGTCAACGAGAACGCCATTTATTACATTTTTCTTCCGTTCACCACCGAGCTTAATTAACCATTTTTCTTTTAATACTTATCACCACAAAGCACGCGCTTAACAATGCTGATCTGCTCTTGTGAGCAAGATAAAAGAGCGTTACATATGAACCTTGTGAATGTTGTTGCTCTCCTTGAGTCGTCTCCCATCTAATTAAGGATAGAGTGCCCGCTGATATCTGGGATGTTTAAAGTTGGAATCCTGTCGGAAACTCAAGATTACTATTTGCTTTGTTTCAGACTTGTGACGTGAAAAGCATAACATCCCTTTTAAGCCAATGTCTGTTACACATAGTCTTGCGAATCGGTACAGTTCCACTCGGCTGAGAATTTCACCGCTTTCCATGGAAATGAGAAGCATTCTAATTTTCTTTTCTCTTTTTTTAACTTGTTTGCGGTCCGATACAATATAACTCCAGGAATAATCGCCTGTTACGCTCAATAACGTAACACAATTGACGCAAAATGTTACATTTTGCAGCGCTTAACATCACCTACATTTTGAGCGAAGTGGAATTATCTCGATGGATTTTGAAAGGTTGCAAATTCACTTTATTTAAGACGTTTTCGCTTTCATCGCCGTCGTAGTTTCGTTAGCACCCTACCACCTTTCATGATAGGAGACATTTTTGCCTTAAGCCCATCACTTCTAGAGGGAAAGAATCAGAGGTAAAACATGTTATGTGGGATTTGTCTGTGTTTTCACGATTCGTTACATGTTTTTTTTGTTTTCTTACTCCTACACCTGATAGCATTCTACAGAAGCTTCGTTCAATTGTGGCCATGAATGAAAATCTGAAGAAACAAGAGCAGCAATTTAGAGCACATTGCAAGGTAAACAATAGTGTGCAGATATATTAATATACCTAATTCAAAAAAGTTGGCATTTGGTCATTGGAAATTTGGGCATACGGAACTCACTGTAATGATTAGCTTGGTTGACTTCCTAGCAGCAGCTTTCCAGTGCGCAAGTGCCCAATGTCCAGGGCATTGAATCAGGTATATACAGCCTACGTACGTCATTATGCTTATAACACAAACCTCTACGTACTGGCCATTTTGAGGTTGTGCATTGTCGAATTGCACTCTGGGACTGCTTTGAGGACGCAGTCGCTTCTTTTATTGGCTATTCGCCACTTTGGGGTTGTGCAGGATACCGGTTGTCCTGGGTTTTCATTAAGAATTCTAGTAGCCGGAGAAAGATGTAACGTTACCGGAGAATATTTTGAAAGCGGCTCCACGTCTGAATAAACAACCGTCTTAGGCTACCGAACATTAGCCGGAGAATCCAGTGTAGTAACTGTATAATTCTCCGATCTCCAATGCTTAACGAGTACCCTGGTTGTCAAAGTGCAATAACAGCATTGTGGGACTGTTTTGGGGGACGCATTTGCCGCCATGTTGAAAATGCGTTCCCCAAAACGGTCCCACAGTGCACTTTGACAACCATCTCGACCAGGTCTCCCGCGCAACCTCAAAATGGCGAATTACCAGATTGTGCGGGAAAATCTTCACTCAAAATTCGTGATAGGAGTCTTAGAACTTAAAGTAGTAAATAAGAGAAGGAAGAAAACAGTAGGTAGTAAGAGGACTTGAACCCGCGTCATTCGTCTCCACTACACCATCAAGGGCTAACTGCCGAGACCGCCGGGTTAATTTAACGTACTTTAAATGGCGTTAATCATTACATCATCGAAAACTAACCGTTTTTAAAACATTGCTTAACCCTAATCACTCTACTTCGGTGCTTAACCCTGTATTGAACTCTTTTCCTTGCACAACTATCTCTTACTCTGATTTCCCCAACTTTTCTAAAAGTTTCGTGCCCAGTAAATTCGCCTAAATTTAGTATAGCGTGGTGTAGAGTATAGCGTTGTGTAATAAACATAAGGTGTCCAACCTGATGTTGAGGTATCCATTTTAGTCACAACCGCGGGAAAATGAGCCAAATCTCCTCCCCCTAAAACCGTCCCACAATGCAGTTCTACACAACACCGACCCACTCTTACCAGCGACATGATATGAAAGTATGAAAGTAGCTTTCTATATTCATTCAATTAAAACTCATTTTCTCCTGAAACATTTTTTGCCTGGCGTCGTTTGTAAGCTGAGGGTTTTTGAACTCGGAAATGGCCTATCGATTTTACTTAGTTTCTAAAACATTCTCACTGTTATGTTACTTTCTATTCTCAACCAGGAAGAAATGGCTCGCTTACAGGAGAACCTCGAAAAGCTGAAGGCTCAGGGTTCTGAAGATGACAGCGAAGAAAAGGTAAATCGAAAAAGTAATCATTCTCGACCGACCTTAGAGCTCACGCTTTTGACTCCGCGCGTGGTCGTGCGAAGAATCCCTTTCGCCTGCAATTTGGTGATTGGATGCTCTTAAAAGAATAGGAAAAATTATCCGAGAAAATGCTTTTAAACAGAAGAAAAAAAACGGGTTAAAATTTAACCTGGGATCAATGTTAATCGGTCTTCGAACAACTGGACCGGCCCGGTTCCTGAAAGGTCTATTAGCGCTAACCCAGGATTGAAATTTTGTTGCACTTTTTGTATTTACCTTCCTGTGCATTGCTTAGAGTAACATTGTGTGTTAATTATCATTACTATATCTCTGAGTAAAGACTCAACAGTATTTTGTTAGCTTGAGTTATATGTTCGTAGACTACAAAACGTGGTTAAAATTTGGCTTAATCTTGGGTTCAACTTAACCATCTTTCGAGGAACCGGGCCCTAGGGTTGGAGACTTTAAAGTAATTAAATGCGCGCTATGCTTTGAGTCATGTTGATTCTTCATTTGACTTATGCGGCAGATAAGAATACTAACCCAACAGATAGCAGAACCACCGAGTTTTAACACTGGGTGCCCTGCGGCATGTAATAAAGTCACTCTAACGTTATTTGTACTTGTTTTTAAAATCGCAAAAGTATTTAAGATCTTGCGTGTAGACGCCGTGCTTCTGTCTGATTTAAACCTGAGGTCTTGGTTTCCGGATTCTCACCTTGGTCATCGAAGGGAATTTATTAGATTCTACCGTAGCACGGGACAAGTCGTTTAGTATAAAAGCGGGACGAACAACATTTTGAATTTCCAAATAGTCCGTTTTCATCTTTACTATATCCATTTTGAAATCACTTGTGATCCCTGCAATTTGATTGACTTTCAGCAGTGTGATTTATTCACGAATCACATTATTTTTAGCTGTAAATCGCGTTATTCTTGTTCTAAATCACGTCATTTCTGTTTTAAATCGCACCATTTTCGCTCCATGTCGCATTATTTCTGTTTCAAATACAGAATGAGATGTAAAAGCCTTTTTCTTTCCGCTTTTCTATAAACCAGCTATACTAGATCAATAAAATATTCGTAATGATTTAATTCTGCGATTTCAAAATGGCTGTAATAAAGTGGTAATTGAACTTCGTGTTGTGCCATTTTGGTCTGAAATCATGCTTGTGATTTCAAATCGAACTCTCCCTGCGCGCTCGTCCGATTGTATGGTTTTAGACCAAATACACTCCACTCAGTTCAATTACCATTATGTTTATAAAGACGATTTTCCAGGGTCGATTTGTTCATCTAGGCAGAGAAATCGTCTAAAGTGCGACTTTGGAATTTACATCAGACAAATTTGTCCGTCTTCTTGTGTGAGAATGGCCATTGTAAGTTGCCCTAAGCGAACAACTAGACCGACTCGTTTACGGTATTTACTGTGTTTGAATTTTATTCTCTCTTTTTTCCGATTTATTCAGGAAAGATTAGAACTTATTGGTAAACAATTCGAGGCGGATAAAGCCAAGCTGGAGAAAATAAGACTTCTGCTGGTAAGTTTTTTGTTCTCGTAATATTAAACCACAATCAAATTTGATTGATAATGTAAATGCAACTCTCAGTTGCTTTACCAATGTAACTATAAAATGAAATCAATTTTTTTTCTATCTTCTTTCTCCATCTTATTTGACCATTTTTTGTTTACGAAGGCGCGAAAGAATCGCGAGATATCCTCGCTTCAGCGGAAGATTGACGAGGTACCATCACGAGCGGAGCTCACACAGTACCAGAGAAGATTCGTGGAGCTGTATAACCATGGTTTGTATTTATACTCCCGAGAGTTCCTTTAAAAAAATCTTAAGTTAAACTCCTTTACAAGTTTTTATGACTATTAGCGAAAATCTAACCCCGACAAAACGATGAAAAGTGCTACGAGATCTTATTGTATTTCTTTTTGAAAGTTCTTACAATTTTTTAAATGACTATAATTGTATACGCTTGAGCACGTTACAATCAAACTTTTTATTGTCCACATTTTTCCTCTGCTTTCAAAATCAAAGATGGCGCCTGAACGCTTGCCATCCAAACTATGCCTGCAGTGCAAGCTAGATAGGAAATATTTCATTCTGCGATATTTCATCATTGGCCCTGATGTGCAAAATCTCCATTTTAATTTTGCAGTTGCTGGGACTCATAAGGAAACTAAGCAGTTTTTTACCTTGTACAATACACTGGATGACACAAAACTCTACTTAGGAAAAGAGGTGAGCTTCCGTAAATTCTCTATTAAGCCCCAGTCCCCCCCCCCCCCCCCCCCCCCCCCCCCCCCACAAAAAACACTAAAGAACACCCCACCACGCGCAAAAAAATTTAGAGCGGACACCAAAAAGAGAGGTCAACGCAAGACGGACGGTATGTGTNTTTATTCGACTTAGTGTATCGTAAGTGAGTAGAGTTTTGCTCGTGAAAACCCCCCTCTCACACAAGCCTCTCTTTTGTTATAAGCCCCTCTTTTAAGGGAGAAATAGTTGATAACCCTCTTCCTCTCTTTAAGCACCCCTTCCCCATCCCACTTGTTATTCTTCATGACAAAAGTAATCACAACAAAAGTAAAAATCATGGACTGCTTTAGTCAATCACGACTGTAACCCTCCTTGTGGAGTGATCCGGTATGCTATGGTTTATTCACATGCTGGTAGTTCGGATATGGTTTTTGATCTTCGGATGCGGACCTCCATCTTCATGTGCCTGAGCTTTCCACTTTGCGTTTTAGCTCTTTATGGAGAACTGATACCATCATCTCCGCTTAATTAAATGAGCCTTCCTCCTCTCAAATAACCCTACTTCTCTATTAAACCCAACCAAGAGCTATGCCCCTCTCAAATAATCTTGAAATAAAATAATTGAGGCTGGGATTGACGACCTGGCAATATAGGACAGAAACGTATTAAAAGTCTGCTCAAGGTAAATAATTACTGGGGGAGCCCTGCACTGCGGGATCTTTTTAAGGACGTGACCCTCCTAGTACAAAATTACTTTCCGCGGATCTCAACTACGCAGAGAGGGTGGATTAAACAAAATATTGGATGAAGATGCCAGAACAAAAACCGAACGCAGCGTTTCCTCTTGTACTGCAGTGTCGTTGCTTTTCTAACATTCACCTCGTGTTTTTCCAGGTTAACCTTTTGAATTCCATCCATGATAACTTTGAACAGTAAGTACGCTCGTTTTTACACTTTAAAATATGTCTTATATTGAAAGAAAAAAGGCCTTTTTGCAGCTGGTCAGTCACGTGGCACAAAGAGAAACAAAATCGTCCTGGTGTAAGACAAAGAAAGAGCTTACATCTTATCAAATAGTGCTTTTTAACGAAAGCTCAGAGATACATTGATTGCGGCCGCCATCTCGAAAGCAATTGAAAAACTAAGGGAGGAGGGGTGGGCAGCATTGGAATTTCCCATTGGAATCATTTTTTCACTCGCCCCAACTCTCTGTCAGTTTTAACGTCCAAGGTGGCGGGAAAACATTAGTATTATCGTTCGCACTGCAAAATACGCCTGCTTTACAGGCTACTAGCTCTCCTGTATGGCGTTTTCTTTCCACATGACTGTCCAGCTACTAAACCCATTCATCAGCTGCCCAATGGGCCATTTTCACCATGATGTTATTTTACGATAACTGTCGGAATCCAATTTCCTTCCTCAATAGTATTTCGTAATCCTAATCCCAGTGGTTTTTAAACTGCGATAGTCCTAATTTGCCCTAGAACAAGGAAACTAGATGTCTTCTGACAGTTGTAATGAAAAAACGCCATTATTAAAGTGTGCTTCATCATAAGTTCATTGATAATGATAAGTTTGTTTGTTTGCTTGTTTGTGTTGATGGGGAGTTTTGTGTATGTATAGTATTTATTTTATTTGTTTTGTTTTTGTATTTGTGAGTGGTGCTGGGTTGAGATGGGGGGGATGAGCAGTTCCAGGAACTCGCTGTGCACGAGAATTAGTCTTAAACTTGATCTTGACCTGCTTTTCTTCATGTCCTTTAAGAGCGATGTCATCTCCCTCAAACAAAGAACAGTTCTTAAAACAGTTTGACAGTATAGTCAGAGGAATTGTCGACAACAAGGAAAGGGTAAGACAAGATACTCAAGCCTAACTTGTTCACAAGCCTCACTGGCTGATTCATCCATTAGTCCAGTTTCCTAAGGGTACTACCAACCCCGAAACTCTGATTGTCAAAATGTGTGTTCTGGCAAAACGTAAGATACAGTAAAAACCCGCGACTTAGAACCTGCAGTTTGCCAAGTTAATCTAAACAGGTTCTTACATAAATGATAATTAACACAAATTTAGGCTCTGTAGTTTCTTAAATAGGTTCTTTTTTTCTGAAGAAAAAAAATGCATTGTAGTGAAGTAGAGTATTTAGTGGTATATTCAGTTCATTCCGTAGGTAAGCGGTCGGAGAGAAAAGTTAGCTGTTTTGATCGTCCGCATCTTTTTGTGAATTTTCGCACAGTTTTTTCTATTCTGTTTGTGTTTTCTGTGTTCTACTTACCTACTAACCTGGCCTGTATAATTTGTTTGATTTTTTTTTTCAGTTAGATATGAGTGCACGTTTGTGTTACATTTTTTTAGTGTCATTCCGACCCTAATATTGTAATTTATTCTGTTATTTGGCTTCCTAGACTTGTTAACTCTCTATATACTTCAGGAAGCCAACACCCCTTATAGCTTTAATTTTAAGTTCATGTAAATTTAATATTTCTTAATTAATAAGGGGTCAATAAAAGTTATTGTTGTTGTTGTTGTAAAACCTGTATACCATTACAATTGCAGTTGGAGTAATATAAAGTCACCTATGTCTCCAAAGAGGCAGGATCCTGAATGGTGACTTATCTTATTTGCCCAACTGTTCAGAATTTTTTAAATGGATTTTAGAAAGTAACAGCCTGTTTCAAATTTTAGGCTAAACAGGTTCTTGTATAATGGGGACCTTACTTGCAAATTTTAGCCTAACATGTAAAATCCAGGTTCTTAGTCGCGGGTTTTGAGTGTAATTACCAAGCAATTAATACTTTTATTTTTTCTTAATTCAATTTCTGTTAGATTGAGAAAAAGAAAGCTGTAGAAAAACAGAGGCGTGACGCGTTGAACCAAAAGTACCTCGATATTGTTGAACAGGAAAGGTTGTACTTCAAAACAGTCAAAGATTTCACCGAGGTAGGTCTATATGTGGTTGTTCCGTCGTTATTTGTACAACATTGTTATGGAAGACGAGATAATAAAAAAAAATGAGGGTTAAAGTTGAGAGTGAGATTTCGACCGCTTTGCAGCATTATCGATGAGCAAGATAAAACGCTTTTTCAGTGTTTTAGTTGTTTGTCACATCAACGTCTTTCACCCAAGAAACTGCAAAAAGTAAGTTCGATATTGTGATGTCTATGACACCGGTTTAATGAACAGTGCCACAGGAAAGTACTGCTTAGTTGCTTTCACACTTTAGGATTTCATTCTACGACTCTTGAAAAAGTTAGAATTACCTTGTACAGCATAATAAACAGTACCGCAAGAAAGTACTGCTTTGTAGCTTTCATTTGAATGGTCACACTTCATGATTTCATCACCAAACGTAAAAGTTAGAACCACCTTGAACAGCATAATAAACAATACCACAGAGAAGTACTGCTTTGTAGTTTTCTTTCACACTTTTGGGTTTTATCACCGGACTAGAAATATAAAGAACTACCACTGAAAAGTACTGCCAAAAAGAAGCCATCATGGTCTTGTGCTAATCATTCATTAATATCTTTTTTTTTTCGTTTGCAGGAGTGCCACAAAAATGAAGTGTTGTTGTCCAAGCTTAAAAACTTGGGGGTCTCTTAACCGTTATCGTACATTTTTATTCGCATAAAAATTGTGTTATCTTTTTTGTCTCGTTGATTAGTTTGAGTAGATGTCAATCAGCTTGCGTGCAGCAATGCTAATAGGTAAATTTTAAAGAAAAGAAAGCAGATAATGATAAAGACTAGAATTAAAATTACAGAGAGAAACACTGTTTCACCACGCCCTACAAATTGTGAACATTTTGATTTTTCTCCTGACTTTTAAATTACGGAAATGGACTAGCCGAATGTTTTGTGAAAGCAAATCATCAGGTTCAGGCCTTAGTACAGGGCAACCCCGTCAATACAGCTTGAAATTTGGTCATTTAAACGGCATATCGTAACGAATTTTGACCCCGTTAAGAAACAGTCCCTAAACTGTTCACAGTCCCTAATTTTTCCGTAAGATCGTCGCGATCGAGCGCTTTGCGTTGCGTGCGGGCGACCATCTTGAATTGGATAAGTGTCCAATCTACGTAGGGGACGGGGAACAGTTTGGCTTACGCCCACCCCCTCGGTACATACTCAATCCCGACGATCTCGGGCTTAAATCGACGTAAAAACAGTCCCATGGTGCAATTCGTCATCATCGACTCAGGCCCTCGAGTATCTTTGAAATGACCAATGGCCACTGGGGGTGGGGCAAGTTGGACGGGGGTTGCATTCTAAATGTGAAATGAAATGTTTCTCATTAAAATATGAGTGAATGTGTGAATGTACATTCCAACCTCGTTCCCAGGGTTCGAGAGAGAGGTAGGAGAGGGAACCTGGGAACGAGGTTGCCTCCCTAATTAGGGCACAAAATAGACAAAGACACTTGTTCGTTTTACAGACCAGGGGTGTCCGTGTTAAAGTTGGAAGTTTGGTATCGTTGGAACCAAAAGAACTGACGTCAGTAGGGTGCTGTCCGTATTAAAGAGGTGTTCGTAAAGAGAGATCGGCTTTACTTCTAAAAGTAAAAAAAAAAATCGAAAGTATGATAATTTGCAAAATGTTTTTTTATGGAATAAATTAATTCGATTTGTATTGATTTGTTCAAGTTCACTTTTCATTCACGCCCTTTCCCCAAACTACCTACAACTTCTTTCTTTCTTTCTTCACCTCTTGTAGTTTGTTTTGTTCATATTGTTTTCTTGTCTGTCAAGTTTATGATAATAAAATAAATGAAAAAAATTTTGGAGGATCTCGTACAAGTATCTTGTTTTCTCTGTGTTCTTGACATAGATTGCTATACAGCTGGATTTACAATGCATTAACTGTCCGGTTGTCGATTCACAATACTAAAACCTTATTGCTTGACTTACTAGCAACGGCCACGTGACCGTCTCTTGTGATGGTCGCTCCTCCTGATGCGTATTTCTCATAAAAGTAGACTTTCCTTTTGAAATTACCCACAGGGTCAAACGCTATTAAAGCATTGCTGGCCCGGTCAACTACAACAACTTCTTCAGTGTGAGGGTTGAAAGTTATTCCTGATGGAGTAAAGTTGCTGGGAATTTTCCTGTGAGGCTTGATAAACAGGGACGGGAGAATAGTACGCGACTTAAGGCTCGCATCATTGGCAGCCCGCTTTGAAATGACGAACACAGCGTTCAAAGCTGTCACGATCAAGTCGCCACGCGTTGTCACGCACATATGTGACTCCTGAGCTTGTGTGAACTCGCCAGTGAACGTAAAGCATGACAAGAAAGTCCCGTCTGTGTTCAAAACAAACACAGTCTTTTCGCACAACGCAAAAATTCTGTCCCTGTTTCTATCCACAGCAAGACTTGTCAACTGGCCTTTATTGAAGCTAGGCAGGCCCCGTCCGAAACTCCAACAAAAATTCCCGTTTTTGTCTACGACAATTATTTCGTTTGTGAACTGAAGGTTTATGTAGGATTTATAGCTGCTTCCAACATAGACCCTGTCGTTTTTGTCGACATCAATGCATTGAGGGTGAAGAAGGTTAGTCACTACCGTGTCTTCGTTGAAGGTTTGCAGCAAAGCAAGCTCACAAACTCTCCTACTCAATGCGCCATCTCTTGAGAACATTTTTATCTGGAAGTTATATCGATCGGCAACTAAGAAATCACCCTTGCTGTTCGTGGCGATGTCAACCGGGCCGTTTAATTGCGCTGGATCTGCTCCGAACTCACCAAAAGACCAGAAATAACCCCTACAAACTTCCCTGTTCAAGACCGGGTGAATTTTGTGGGAGGAATCTACAGGAATTTCGGGCCAATTTCGAAGAAACTCGTCACCCTTCGAGCAAAGATGTAAATATTCCCACAAGATGCGATTTATAGACACCACTGCACTGATAAGAGCTTCCCTTTTCATTTCGCAAAACAGCTTTCTCAAGTTAAAGCTGCCGAACCGCACGGAAAATACCCGACGAACTTCCGGTAAACTGTTCAACTGCTCGAGATAGTTTTTGCACAACACCACTGCGACTTCCGGTTCGGCAATGAACTCTAGCATGGTCGCCGCAACTCTGAACTTCATTGACAAGACCCGATCGTAAATGTCCAAACCTTCATTGCTAAAAGCCTTAATAGCGCTTTCAGCGGCTTTCTTGAGAAAATCTTTAGCTTCGATGAAAAACTTGTCTTCGGAATCGATTTTGTCAAATTGCAATCCGTCAGACATGAGATGTAGAACTTCCCATTCATCTAGTTCTATATTAGTTGCGTCAGTATTGAAAAGGCTAACGTCGTCAAAATCGCTCTTAAACGTTAACACTTCAGTTTTAATGNTTCAGCGGCTTTCTTGAGAAAATCTTTAGCTTCGATGAAAAACTTGTCTTCGGAATCGATTTTGTCAAATTGCAATCCGTCAGACATGAGATGTAGAACTTCCCATTCATCTAGTTCTATATTAGTTGCGTCAGTATTGAAAAGGCTAACGTCGTCAAAATCGCTCTTAAACGTTAACACTTCAGTTTTAATGGTTGGTCCACCTTTTCCAGACTTTGCAAAGCTGTGGTACATTAAACTGACCCCATCTTTGAAAAAGTTGGCGGAAGAGATGAGGTCCATCTTGCACAATCCCTCGAGTTTTTCGCGTATGGCAGTGAGTTCGCGGACGATGAAATCCCTGAATCTCTCGTCGCTTACATCTCCGTGTTTAAGATTCT